GAACCAAGATGCATCATGTAAAGGTACAATTCCCACTGAGAAATGTAAATGTGTTGTATACCTACAATGTACCAATAAAAGAATTTAAGAAAAAATAAAAAAAGAAAAACTCAAAGTATAAATAAAGCAAAGAGCAAAATAAAAGATAGACAATAGGAAATATAGATGTTTGGCAGATACAAAGGGATCTAAGAAATGGAGAGAATGGGGAGAGGAAAACAGACAGGGATGTAAAAGGACAAGATGTGTCATGTACATACATCAATTTCCTGCAAAGAATATGTTCATGGTGTACCACAAACAGGTACTAATAAATCAAAGAATGAAAACAAATACATTCATATTTCAATAACTGACTTCTGTGTTGGACATTCCGAGCCCACCTGGATACTTCATTTTCCTATTCTACTCTACATCTCCAGAGTTCTTCACACCAGCTGGTCAGATGCTTATACTTTTTACAATGGGCAAAGACTATTCTTACATTAATTAGCTCTATTCCTAACCTAAAGATTTATGGTGTAAGTTCCATATTCTTGATAGTCAATCTTTGTAATTGCAAACACAAGACAAGAATAGAAAAACAATTTTTCCTCTGAAATATAAGAATAGCTTTCAAAATGATTTTGGTGCTCAAATCCATGTACTGTACATGAATGACTCTATTCACATTGATTTATTTTGTGATCTCTTTTCCCTGGGGAAATAAATCTCAGTTTCATATCCTAGTTTCAATGGTGGAAAGACTTGATGAGAATAAATGGCAAAGAAAAAAATAATATTTTAAATTACTATACCACAATGCCACTTTTATTTGGATAACCTTTATTAAAAGATTTCTGTCAGAGTTTTAAGGCATAATCTATCACTTTGACTTCCTGTTTTGCTATGATTAGAATTTTCTTACTTTGACAACTTTTTTAAAGAGAATGACCCATTTTTTAATGTTGTAAAAAATGCATAAAATAAATTTACCCTCAACAATTTAAATGCTTTCTATCACATAATCATAACTATAGTTGTTGTTGCACAATAGATCTCTAGAAAATTTATACCTTGATGACTAAAGCTCTAGACCCATTGAACAACTCTCCATTTTTCTTTCTACACACCTGGCATCCACCACTTAATGATTCTATGAATTTGATTACTTTAAATGCTTCATAAATAGAATCGCGAGGCATTAGTCTTTTTGTTATTGGCTTATTTTACTTAGCATAGTGTTCTCAAGTTTATCTGTGTTGTAGCATATGACAGAATACAGTGCCCCAAAGGTCCCCCCGCTTTCTGTGTCTTGAAGGAAAACCACATAATGATTTCTGTTACCCAACCATCTCAGATCTTTCCCAGGGGGTTTAAACCCATGCTGAAACCTTGAACATTCAGGTACTCATAAAAGTATCAGTTTGGTTGCCCAAAACACTGAAAGAAACTGTTCACGTCCCTGAGCCAAGTTCCTTCAGCCCTCATATAAACTCCATACTCTGCCCCTCACTACGGACTTATGTAGGTAAAAACATCTTTTTTTTCTTGTGATCTATTACCAAGATATGTTGCAGTGCTCTGTAAATAAGCTCCTCTAATAAATCCACTAGGCAGATCACACTGACACTTAGCACTTCTTCATTGGAATCCAAACTGGCCTCATCTTTGCACAGCATAATGAAAGCCTGGTTAGTTTTTGGTCTATACAATCCGTAACCATTGTGTTTGTGAAAATGTAGCTCACAAAGGGCAGCGCTGTCTGTATGTCCACATTTTAGTGATCCTTTTGATGCCCTTTCATTGCTCTGTGACAATTACTCAGTTTTTATTATGACTATTAATGCATATTAACTATACAAAATAATGGAATTTACTGTGATATTTCCATACTTGCATATATTTTCTTTATCCACTCATCTGTTGATGGTCTGTCAATACTCTTTTGCTAATATTGACCAAGCAACATCGCTCCTTTCTATTCCTCACAACCCAGGCTTAGTAGATGAAGGTGTGAAAGGAATAGGATAGTGAAGTAGGTAATCCAAGAAGATAACCCTTTCCTTCCCTACTGCTTCTTTTTTGGGGTACCTAACATTTTGTTTTCCACTTTTTTGTCAGGAAGGAATAATCTTCACTCCAAAGAACCCCAAGTCCTCCCTATCACTCAAAGTTGAGGCAAAGCCCCACTCCTGAAAGATGTTAACCTAATCCCTAAGCCCCAAGCCCCTGAACCATTGTCCTTTTTCATTCTCCCTAGCTGTAAGGCACTAACCAGTATTCTTTTGGGCCCTACCATTTGCCTGGACTTGGTCTTAAGAATGTCACATTTCCATGCCTTTCCTTGGGCTGTAAAGTTGACAGATGCAACACTCTAACTCATTCTTCTGTTCTGGGCCACATTTTCTCCTCTGTCCCAGATCTGAGAGGTACAAGATTGGTTACAAAGTAGATGATCTATAATCTCATCCAGAGGAAGTTACATTTTTTAAAAAATTTCCAAATACTAATGACAAGTGCTAGAGAGGCAGACATAATCCAGAAAACAATATGGACAGAAGTACAGCCTTGCCATTACCTGGAATCTCAGGACATAGTGCTATATTACCCAGGTAAAACTTTCTGGTAGTCAGAACTGAACTGCTAGAAATAAGAGGAGACTTGGGATGGCAGAAAAAGCCATTCATTCTAGAAGCTCATGGTACCCACCTGAAATGCAGGAATGCTTCCTCTAATGACAACATAGTTTTGTACTATGGGAAAGGTATATTCCATTGGACAGAGTGATAGGAAGAATCTTGAGTCTTTGTTGAGGAGTTTGGCTTTGCATGAGTACATGTCATAGACTACCATTTGTTCACCAAAAACCATTTAATGTTCTTGGAAATACAGCTAGACTACAACAATTCCCGGACTCCTTTGCCAATAGGTGGGCCCATAGGACTGTGTGATGGCCAATGGAATATAGATAAAAAGGAATTCCACTTCTATACCCAGAGCTGAAAACCCCTTTGTATGAGCCTCCACACTACCTTTCCTCTACCATCTGTTGGCTGGCCATAGAGGAACCAGCAGAGGAGGCCCTGGGAGAAGTCAGACCCACAGACAGAAGGAGCTTGACCTTTGAATTGTGGCATGGTTGATTGACCACCTTTGGTGAACATATTGCAAATGAAAAAAACTCTTATTTTGTTAACTCCACTAAATTTTTATAGATCTCTTTGTATTTTTGCTAGAGCAATAAGGCAACCTGATAAAACAGGGAAGGCAGAATTTGGAAAGGCATGGGAAAGTGATATAGTAAAGACCAAGTCCAGGGCTGGGGATTTAGCTCAGTGGTACCACACCTGCCTTGCTTGCAACCACAAGGTCTTGAGTGTGATCCCCCGTACTAAAAAAAAGGAAAAAAAAGCTCAAGTCCAGGCAATTCCAAGTCCATTATGGAGTGGAAACAACTCTTGTGACTGCTGGGGGTTGTAATAAGGGAAATACGGAAGGAGTACGAAAAACCAAACAGCCTTCAGGTTGATGTATCAGTTTATTTGGCAAAAATTTAAGCCTTCTCAGGGTGAAGAGGTCAAGGAGAGAACAAATAGGTCCCTAGCTGGAGCAAGTGAATGTCCCAACAGCAACAAGGCAGCAGTCTTAATAGATCACAGTGTCATTCTTCTACTCATGCTAGTGGTGGGCCAGATAGAACTTAGGGAATTAGCATGGTTTTAAAGGGCTCTCTGAAAGAGAGAAAATGAGTGATTAGAAGTCAAGAGCCCTGGGAAAATCCATTTCCAAACTCAATAGCATCCTAGGATCCAGATAAGGACAGAAATTTCTTCTGCTACATCAACAGTTTCTCATTTTTAACCAATGTTTCCCAAGAGATTTGGGGTTTATGTTGATTGAGCATACAAGTGAGAAGCAGATCTCTCTGAGTCTGGCCTGAAAAAGGAAGATCGGTAATTGAATCCTTGGACCAGGGTAGTATGCAAACTGATGGGTGATATTTTGAGGGAAGCAAAAAAAAAAAACTGAATGAAAATAGGGAAAAAGTAAAAACAGCATATTGGTGTCTTGGGGTTATTGTTTGTATGTTTGTGTGTGTGTGTGTGTGTGTGTGTGTGTGTGTGTCACAGCCCACATTTAGAGATAGGAGCCCATTGCCTTATATCATCTGTTTCTTTGACCAGAATTTGAGTGACTGCAGTCTTGTGTTCTGGGCCACATTTTCTGAATGGTGGTGAGGAAAAGAGGTCAAGCATGGCCAGGCACTGATCTTCCCACCCCCAAACAACTCACGCCTTGTCCCAGCAGATATTTCCACAATAGGTCCAACAGCATGTATGATTAGGATTCAAGCACGTCTGTAGCCTCGTGCATCTTTTTGCACAATACTCTGATGGAGGTTGTACCCAGCACTCATCAGCTGATGCTATTTCATCTGGGACAGAGATAGTAAAAGTTGGCAGGGTCAATCCACTCACAATTTGGAGAAGAAAACCCTTTTCAAGCTGAACAATCCCTTCTGGAAATTGGGCTTTAAGCCACAAATAAAGCACTTCTCTTCTTTCCACGAAAATCCCTTCCTCAAATTCAAAACAGTGTCTCTTCACAAAAGACTGTCCTTGTATGAGATGTGTTTCTTCCTTCCACGTATCACCACAACACTGCAGGACTTCAGATCCTAAAGATAGGACCAGGGACATCCTCACCATGTATGACACCATGCCACCAAATTTATTATCTTATAACCCTAGATCTCAAGGCCTGAAGCATCTTCTAGCCCTAATTTCCATACCCAATTACAGAACAGAAAAGCCAGGCTAAGAAGGAACAGAAGCCTGCTTTTCTCCCTATTTAGTCCCTGCTGATATCACCTAGGCACTGACCTAGGTGCTCACCTCTTTATAATTAAACTCCATGCCTTTCACTGTCCTCCAACTCTTCTGCTCAGTCTCTTTTGTTGTCCTCATTTTTACCACTTGGCTACATGACCCACTAAAGAGCCCCTATTTGTGTTTTCCATTTTTTCATGCTCTAAAATGCTCTCCCCACCCCAACAAAATAGATGTGTTAAATATCACCATCTTGGAATTTGTCAAAGGCTCACCCAGCTGTGGCACAACGATTTTGAAAATAATCTTCTCTGTGGGCTCAAACAGAAGTTGGTACTGTGTTTCCTCTATTCAGACTGGTCTGACATTAGAAAATATTATTTCATGCTAGTCTATGGAATGTACACAAACGTTATGTTAAATCCTTTCTGTGTGCTCACTATTACTTTCAGAGCTGGGAGAAGAACCTTGAAGAGACACCAGATTGGGAACATCCAACCTAATCTTTCTGGGATGTTTTTGTTTGAGGGCTCTGATCCTTTCAAGGCTGATCCTGGAAATACTGGCCGGAATCAGCTATGACAGACAGACAGTATTGTGCACCTAAGAACTAAATAGTGTCTATTATGTGACAACTTTCCCACTCTTCCTGTGGGTCCCTCCTCTCTCTGCACCATTACCACTCTCATATTTTGTCCTGAGGCTTCCCAGCACAGGCAAATCCCCACAGACAACCATGATGAGTAGGCAAATCCAGAACTTCATTGTTGTTTCTACGTGTATTTCAGATTAAGTTCTGACAGAAAACTGGTCTTTCCTTGATCCTGCTAGAGATAGAAAAGAGATTTGAGGTGAAGTGGATAGACAAAAGAGAAAATTATTGTGAATACTGTTATTCTTTCTCCGGTTTCTTTTTCACCCTCTGGTACCCAATGATATACCAACTCCCAACCTAGCCATTAACATCCACATGTCAGCCGGGGATTTAGCTCAGTGGTTCCACCGCCTGCCTCGCAAGCGGAAGGACCTGATTTCGATCCCTGGTAACAAACAAACAAACAAACAAACAAAATCCACATGCCTTTTCCCATTGCACATTACATACCACTTCCTTTGCAAAAATTTTTAAACACATTACTTTCATGATTAAAAAACAACAAATCTTCAGATTATGTAATTTTTAAAATAAAAAGTACATGGAGAAAGTGGATGAGTATTAGTAATCACACCGTCTAGAAATAACCAGTAAGGGAGACTTTCATGTAATGGTCATTATTTTTATGAAATAAAAGGACATTAAGTGTCCCGATATTTTATTTAAAAACATATTTAGTAGGGTGATAAAATGGAAATTTTAATGAAGATCAAAAGGTACTGTATTGATTCCAGAGTCAGATATGAGATAGTTTATTCAGTACAAGTTAAGAAAAGATGACAGCCCACAACAGTTAAGGGATTCATAAAGTTTTCACTCACATACAGGTGAAAGAATTATAATCAGGATTTTGAAGGAGATTTTATTGGTAAAAAGCTTTGTTCAAGTTTGTAGCAACAACTGTACCTAGAACAGCCAATCATTTATCTTTTGCAATTCAGTCTCTCCCTACACAGAATGAAGATAAAAAAATCCTATCTTGTTAGATTGTTTAGAAGTTTAAAGGAAATAATAAATTTGAAAGAGTAGAGTACTTCATACATAATTTAAGCTCAATAAATGTTTTGTTATTACTACTACTATGTTAATAGTAGGGGGGGAGCTTTGTTCAGAGAAGTGGAGATCTTGCCTTCTAATTCCAGGTAGAGAGAAAAAGTTTTATGAATATTAGTCTTACAGCTCACTCTGTGGCCAGAAGTTTGTGGGGACTCAACTAGAATTGTATTTGAGTCATGACTGAAGACCCTAAAGTGTAGGCATCTGACTAACACAACCTGCAGTAGCAGGGGAAAAAAAGGTTACAATTTGAGAAGTATCCAACTTGTAATTGGCCAGATGACATTTTATGTCTTCAATTTATCCTTGAAATTTTCCACGAAAGAGCCAGGGCCAGAAGCACAATGCCAGTTTATGATATTATCTATTATGTAACAATTTTTCCCCTCCTCCTGTTGGTCCTTCCTCTCTCTGTGTTCCCCAGGGAAAGGAACTTTTTTTCAGTCAGGGTGGGTGAAGGAATAGAATCAAAACCAACAACAGGGCCGGGGATTTAGCTCAGTGGTTCCGGCGCCTGCCTCACAAGTACAAGGTCCAGAGTTTGATCCCCGGTACCAACAAAACAAAACAAAAAAAACCCCAAGGACAAGGGTGAGAACAATAGCAAGCCATGTTGACCACATCCCATAACTGGAGTTTCTTGGGAAGAGAAGAGTCCATCATTCTAAACAATTTATGGATTTGCTGGTATTGAGATGATATTTTACAGTTGATGAGTCACATAAAAATCTGTGGAGATCTCTTAGTTTTCCTGAAGAAACAAAGAAATAACTAAACATTCTGAATAACACACATAGAGGGAGGAGAAAATATCACATCATATAAGTTTTTCCAACAGTCCAGTTGTAAATATTATGATCACTCCTCACATCATTCAGACCCGAATACTTCCAGTTTCTTTTTGCTATAAAAATGTCCTGGTAAACCTTCCTAAAGCTAAAGGTTTGACATATATATCATTCCTTTTATAGCATGAGTTAATGGAGAAAATTTTCCAGGCAAAAAATATTGTCTTTTTCAGGCTTTGGATAATCACTGCCACTCTTGTCTCACTAAAGGTGTGGGCAACAATTCTACCAATTGGACATCAATAGGGGCAGGGATTTAGCTTAGTGGTGCTGTGCCTGCCTCACAAGCGCAAGGTCCTGAGTTTGATCCCTGGTACTGGGAAAAAAACAAAACAAAATGCAATACAGCTGCCAATTGGACATCAATACCTGTCCTCTCCCCTGTGTTCTACCTGAACTAATACAGAGGCAATTTCTGTTTGCTGTTCCATATTTTACAGGTGAGAAAATGGGCACCAGAGTCAAAGTAGCTTGAGCTAGAAGCCTAATGTCACCAACTTTCAGCTGTGAAACCTGGATCTAATTCCAGCTGCCAAGTGGCAGATAAGGGGTAAAGGAAGTTGGAGCAGGGGGTGATGAGACTTAAGTACATCAAAATTCTCTGCTCACACCCCTTCATCTTCTATATGCTATTTTACCTTCCTGAGACCAAACAGCATGGAAGATAAAAGAGCATAAGGAAGGAATAAAACTCTGATATTGTGAATTAAACAGTAACAAGGCAGTGATTGTCTCCCTGAACATCTTTATATCTGTTTAGAAGTTTCAGCCAAGCAGCAGCAATTCCTCCATAACAATATGGTAGCTGTTAGCCAGATGTGACACAGGCAGGATATATCATGTACTGGTGCAAATTCCCTAAGATGCGTGTTATCATTATATATACCTAAAATGTACCAATAAATGTTTTGCAAAAAAAAGTCATAAGGATTGTAAATACAAAAAAATCAATTTTCAGGTATTAAATAGCCACATCTCACTGCGGGACATTATGTTGGACAGTTCAAACATAGAACACTTTCTTTATTTCGAAAAGCTCTAGATAAATCCACCAAAATTACTGAAAGGCAGGTGTAATGCTAGAAATTACTTTAAAAGTAAAGAATTCATCAAAGGGGGCTGTGAAAACCCATTCTCCTCTTGGCGCATGTGAAATTTGAAAGTTTTAGGTACATGATCATTAAATGAACTGACTTTTAGCCAAACTGGTTGTAGGAGGTTTGAAGAGAGATAAGAGGAAGAGCAGATTATGGAGAGAAAGAAAAAGAGAAAAGAAACCCTTCAGTTGTAAACTCTCAGATGTTTGGGGGGCTCCACTCTTAGATGCTTATATCTGCTCTCCAAGCTTCTGCATTCAGAGCTCCTGTCCCTGGCATCTTGCCTCAGCTTGACGTGATGATGGAAAATTGCCAAGATGAGACTTCATTTACCATTGGACAATATTTAGTCAAAGGATGCAACTTATATGGTGATCCTTCAGGCCAAGGGAAAGTTATCTTTAAGTATGGTAGGCTTCTGGAAATCCTGCAAATTTTTAACATTCGTTTTACAGGAAAGACAAGTAATAACAGTTTGACCCTGAGGCTCAAAGTGTCTTTTTTTTTCCAGTACTGGCAGTTGAACACAGGCTTTCACATTGTGCTGTATTCCCAGCCCTTCCCCCTTTTATAAAGACAGAGTCTCCCCACACTGGACTTGAACTTGTGATCTTCATTCCTCAGCCTCCCAGAGTGATGGGATTATAGGCATCCACCACCAGGCTGCTCAGTGTTCTGATCCTGTGAAGGCACCAGAACATGACAAGATGTGAGTGCAATGTACCCCATTATCCATTTACGGGTGAGAATATGACAATGAGGTACCTGGGTGAAGGTAGGCATGGACTGCAGTGTGGATTCCTGGCATGTCTTTGTGAGTGTGTGTGTGTGTGTGTGTGTGTGTGTGTGGTACCAGGGATCGAACTCAGGACCTTGCACTTTCGACACCGGGAGCGGAACCACTAAGCTAAATTCCCGGCCCCCTGGCATGTCTTTTTGTGTTAAGGAGGAGGAAGGTACACACAGTAACATAATAAACTCAAAGCAGTTGATTCTGTCAGGCTGTTTCTGTGTACCCAAAAATATCCTCTTAGACTCGGGTTTTTCAGAGCTTGGAAATCCACCCATTTATAAGGCCCATTCTTAGTCTAGCACTTTGGCGCCCCCAAAGTGTTCAGGATCTCAGGGATACCCAATTTCTTTTCTGCACACTTCAGTTATACTAAATTATTCCAGATAAATGAAGCATCGTGCCAAGGGCACTTCTCATGTTACTCCAGCTGCTTCTCAGAGTTCTTGGTAGATTCTTTGGGTCATTTGAGATAAATTTTAGAACAAGTAAATGTGCAACAATCACTATGAAAATCAGTATGGAGATTCCTCAAAAAACTAAAACTAGAAACTCATTTGGCCCAGGTATTCCTCTTCTAGGTATCTTCCCAAAAGAGTTAAAGACATCATACAGTATTACAGAGATACATCCATAGCCATGTTTATAGCAGCACAATTCATAATTGCTAAATACTGGAAGTGGCCTATATGTCCATCAACAGATGAATGGATAAAGAAAATGTGATGTTTACATACCATGGAGCACTATTCTGTCTTGAAGGAGGATAAATTTGAGTCATTTGCAGGAAAATGGATGCACTTGGACCACAATGTTATATGAAATAAATCAGACACATAAACTTAAATATCACATTGTTTCCCCTGTATGAGAAACCCAGAGTGAACTAAAGAGCAAAATAAAAGATAGATAATAGGAAGTAGGAAGATGGATCATTGCCAGAGGGAAAGGTGATAAGAAATGGGGGGAGAGGGAAGGGAGGGAAAGAATAAGGTATGAAAAAAAAGGAATTAGGATGTGTTTTGTACATGTGCCAACTCCACACAAGGAATGTAAACATTATGTACTGCAAATATGTACAAAAAAAGGAAGAGGATGAAAGGGTGGTTGGAGGGGAGAGGGAGAGAAAGGAAAGGGGATGAAAAAGGAATTAGGATGTGTTCTGTGCATGTACCAACGTCCCACAAGGAATGTAAACGTTAATTATTACACACGTGTACTAATAAGCTAAATTAAATAGGTCCTAAAGGCACCAAAAAAACATGACTAGTTCTCTCCCCCCAAAATTCTAGATCCTGGGTGATCTAGATAGTGTTAAAAAGAGAGAGGGACAAGCTAGATATAGGGCCAAGAATACTGACACCTATATTTCGTCTATGTTCTTTCTACCTTTGAGACCTCAGGCATGTCATATCACCTCTCAATTTTCTTATATCAACATAGGAAACAATAATCCCCATCTCATAGGAATTGTTGACACTATCTGAGCAGAGAGCTCATCCAAGTAAATCACAAATAAAAGCTTATCCCACCTACCTCTCAAGGTGTCTGCGGTGACTGCCTTACAGCTCTTCTGTTTGGCCTACTGTGACTAGGAGGACTGAAATTGGCAAAGAGTAAGAAAACATCAAAGTGCTTAAACCTAATGGTGATTTTGGTTAAGGCAGCTCTTTAAATTCTGCCCAAAAATTATGTGCTGGCTCTATCACGTGCTCTTTCCTTTGGTACTCACCCATCCAGAAATGCTAGATTTTCTTTGCTACAGAAAGTATCTCTTGATAAGCTGGGAAGAACTATGTGTACCTAGGTTGCAGTTCTGGCTAACCTGAAATAACAAAGTCACATGGCCCCAGGGTCTTCATTTGATGCATCCTAGCTCACCTACAGATAGAGAGTTGAGAACAAAGTCTGTAGACCTATCCTTAACATCACGTCCTCCTAAGTCCTGATTATCCTTTGCCAGGAAATGGTTAACACTATCTCACCCCACCAAATGGCCACCAGCTTTTACATAGATTAAAAGAGACTGACTAGGAAGGATTTTAGAAAAGCTAGACGACATCTAGTAAATGAAGAAAGTGAAGAGTCCAAATCTAACACCAAGATATTGGCACAGGCTTGTCGGTTGAGGGGTGGTGAGATTTGCTCACCGAATGTCAGAGAAGGACATTCTATTGGACACACATGCGCGCAATCTTGTGTCACTAGAAAAGAGAAGAGTCAAAGGGGCAAGAGTTAGAAGCTTTCAAAGAGGAAACTTCCTTCTCTAAACCCTGCCTACTGGAATACTCACGCACAATGACAGAAGATGTACACATATGAGGAATTCTTCCCATGGTTTGTCAGATACATTGACAAGAGGAAGCAGGAAGTATATGCCAGAATTCAAGGGACTTGGCTGAGGAAGATGCATCAGTACAAAGACAAAGGGCAGAGTTTGGAGACCTAGATACGAAGTTGTAGGAGTAAACTCAAGGAAACATTGATAGGGATGAAAATGGTGCCTGGTGTGATTGGATGTAGTCTGTCCCCCAAGGTTCCTGTGCTAGAGGTTTGGTCCCCAGTGCGGCAATGTTAAGAGGTGATAGAACCTTTAAATGCCAAGGCCTAGTAGGAATTGGTTAGGTGCTTGAGGGTGCTGCCCTAAGAAGGGGTCAATGCTTATTTCTTGGAGTGAATAAATTTTTGTAAGAGTAGATTGTTATAAAGTGAAGCCATCCACACAAGCGGCCTCTTGTGCAGAAAGCTATTTTCCTTTTCTCTTCTCTGCCATGTTGTGAGCAGCCAAGAAGTTTCTCATGTGCAAGGTGAACATATAGAACTGCCCAACCTTAGACCTTCAGCCCGCAAAAGCATGAACTAACTAAATCTCTTTTATTTTTGGTGCTGGGCACTAAACCCAGGCCGGCACTAGGCAAATGCTCTACCACTGAGCTACACCCTCAGACCTAAACCCCTTCTCTGTATAGATTACTCAGCCTCAGATATTTTGTTGTAGCAATGGAAAATGAACATAGTGTCAAAGCTAGATGATTAAATTATGAATTTCCAAGACATTGGTTTATATGGCAGGAAAATTACATTCCATGCAGAGCAATCACAGACTTATGCTCTGTGTTTAGCCCAGATCCTGGGATCTTCGAGGATCTATTTCCTTCCTTTCCCTTGCAGTGTTCAACGCCAATGACACTTTCTCCCAGATAAACTGCCCTGAGCCCTTGGTTGATGGATTCCTTTGGTTTTAATCAGCTGTCACTACACAAACACTTCAGATAATCAATTCCTAAATAGAAAATGTTTATTTTATCTCACAGGTTTGGAGGACTTACTCCATGATCAGTTGGCCCTGTTGCTTTGGGCATCATGGCAGGAGACTATAGTAGAGCATAACCTCTCATCTTATCCAGTGACAGGGGCACATCCAGCAACTCACAAGTTCAAGGCCCACCTGGGCAACTTAATGAAAGTCTGTCTCAAAGTAAAATTTTGAAAGAGTTGGGAATATAGCTCAGTGGTAGAGGGCTTGCAGAGCATGCCTGAGGCCCTTTGGGTCAATCCCCAAAATTGCAAAAAAGAAACAAACAAAAAAGGCCACTCACCTCCCAGCCAACATGAAAGAATGAGAGAAAGGGGAAGGGACTGGCCTTTGCCGTCCTCCTTGAGTGCATGCCTTCAGTAAGCTTAAGATTTCCCACTTCACCCCACTCTGTAAAAGTTTCACCACTTCCCAGTAGCACCATGAGATCAAGCCTTTAATGGGCCTTGAACATGGGCCTTGAACATGGGCCTTTGGGGGACATTTTAGATCCAAACTATAGCATGACAGGTCCCACCCCCACTTGAGTTCTAAGATATTTGCTGTGTGCACCAATTAGCTCTGCTTCTCATGCCCTCTGATAGTCTCAATAGTCCTTCCCCCGTATATGTATGCACACATGTATGCACAGATAGAATACACACATTTTTTATTCCCATATGTTTCTACTAACTGCAAGTTTTATTGTAGGTGTCTGTTCTCATGGCCCCATTCCTGAGCTCCCATAAGACTTACTGACTGCTTCCTCCACATGTATTTTGAAAGAGATCTGACCTCCAAAGAGAAGATGGCTAATCATGGAAATGTAAGCATCACCTAGAAATACTACATGGAAAGGAAAGCTAGTACAGATGAGCTCAAGTTAAAGAGTGAAGATCCATGTGTCTTGATAAAACTATCTTACCCAGAAAATTTTGATAGAGGAGACAGTTGGTAGAGATCTCCCCAGAATGCTTGGGATAAAGGAAATGGAAAAGTTGAGAGGGATGAAAAGGAGCTGAGAGGGGGGAGCTAGAAGACTGTGAATGGAATAGGTGTAGAACCTCCTGATAGGCTAACGTAATTTAAACTGAAAGATGAGATAGAATAATTGACCCATAATCACATAGGGATTAGAAAAGGCCCCTCACACAAAACTCACTTCCTCATCCCACAACACCAAAACACCAGTTTTGCGGTCTCCAAGACAGTAAAGCTAACTCATGGCCAGTGTTTGGACTGGCTGTCTTGAGCTCTGATTTCTAGTCCTGGCTCCTCTGCCAATTCAGTCTGTGGAGCCGTTTAGAAAAGTGTATAAGTCTCCGGCCTCCCAGACAAAAAGATTTTTCTTCCACGATCCCTCTTCAAGTGGCTTTGTCTTAAATCCCATGCAAAGGGAGTTAAGAGGCATAAATTTCCTGATCCATGGGGCTGCTATGTGTCCTTGGAAAATAATATATAGGCAAAAACAAACAGATTATGTTGAGCACCTAATATGTGCCATAATGGTCCTAGCCTTATATCATGTACTTCATCCTCGCAGCTGAAGGGCAAAACAATAAATTCTATTCTGTCCAAAAGCTCAGACAGAGGTTTGAATGAGTCTGCAGAGGTTATTGGATTTTCTCAGCTTTATGGAGCTGGTGAATATTGAAGGTAGGATTCAAAAAGCAAGTGCAGGGCCAGGGATTTAGCTCAGTGTTTTGCCGCCTGCCTCGCAAGCGCAAGGATTCGAGTTCAATCCCTGGTACCAAAATTTAAAAAAGCAAGTGTAGCTGAGAACAAAATATGCTACTAGGTTCCTTACAGAAAATAGTGAGTAGATCCCTGCTAAGTATCATCATATTTATTCTCTAGCGTTCTCCAGGATTTCAAAAAATTAGTACAGTCTTTCTCAACAGAGGAAAAAATCGTTTATTTAAAGTCAAATTGCTCTCTCTCTCCTTTGTGTGTGTCTGTGTGTGTGTGGTATTTCTTGGGGATGGTCTGTTTTATATATACTTTTTACAAATATCTTCAAAGTAACCTTACACAATATTATTAGCACACTTACATATTGACCATCTAATCACATGAGATCAAGTGGCAAACTTTGCCCTTGTGGCATGATGCTATCACTCAAAAATTTTCAGATTTTGTATTTCTGATTTTTGAATTAGAGATGCTCTAATTCTATCTCTCTTACTTTACCCTATAAAAATCAAGAGTGTGTTCATAAAATATCCAATATAACATTTTGTGGAATATAATGAATCAGTAGTTGTACAATTGTGGAAAACTATACTTTATGAAATATCTACATGATTAAATGAGAGTGGTAGTAAGTAACAAAGGTGTTTGAGGGCTGGGGATTTAGCCCAGTGGTTCCACCGCCTGCCTTGAAGGAGCAAGGACCTGAGTTCGTTCCCGGGAACCAACCAAACAAACAAAAACAAAACAAAAAAAAAGTGTTTGATAAAAAATGTGGAAAAACAAAGAATTATTCACTTTAAATGCATGGGGAAACTACAAGAAAATACAATGAAATATGGGTTAGTTTTAAGCAGTGAAATTATAATCTTTTAAATTATATTTTTCTTTTTTCTGTAAAATATTTTGTAGTTAGAAACAGAAATAAATTGTACATTTCATAGAGGACGTTCTGTCAGCGATAAGACAGGACTGATCACGTGAGAGGGTCACATTCCTGCCCCAGCCCCAACCCTTCCAAGGACAGGGCAAGGGCCAGGCAAGAGGAGGAAACTCTTGTGCTGCCCTGACTGGCCAGCAGAGGCAGCAAAGAGCTGAGGAGAATTTCTCTTTTTCTTGCCTTCCCTCCTCACATCCAGCTCTGTGGGAAGTCTGCGACGTCCTGTCCAGACTTGGGCTTGTGACTCTGGTCAGAGTTTTGCCGCCACAAGCCCTGCTGTCCACCCTGCTTCTCTGTGTGGTGCTGCGGTTCGTGCAGACCCAGGGAGGCCACCGTGAACGCGGCTGGAAGAGGATGCAGGGTAAGCGATGGGCTGGACTGGTATGTGGGGTGGTGGGAAGGAGAGTCTGTGCCCAGTCTGAAGAGGACATGGGACATGGTACTTGGCTACACACCCAGCCCTGTAGACTCTGGGTTGTACCAATCCACAACTCTCCATTACGCAGCCCTGTGAAGGGCAGTGGGGCAGGGAAGGACTCACACTTTTTTCCTTCCATTCCAAAAATCAGAAACAAATGGTCCATACTGGTGAACGGTGGACCAGGGTTGAGAATCTAATGGGAAAATCAGACAGTTATTCTCAGACTTACGCACAGTTGTGAAGTGGAAATATCCAGAGACGTTTATGGGGATGGGTGTAGGTGATGAAATGGGTATAGGGATCGAAAGAAAGGATAGTGTGGGGTGTACAAAGCCAAGAGAGAGTGACCACCAGAGGCAGCAGGGGGTTGGTGGGAGAAGGGAAACTATTGGAGGGACTGGGATACGGACACAGTGACAGTGAAGAGAGAAGAAAGAAGCAAGAAGCAAGGTCCTCTTTCCCTCTGGATCCTGTAAAATCTAGAGTGAGGAGCGTTGGGGAAAGGTCTCGGGCTTCTTTAAGCTCCTCAAGTCAGAGTGCAGATCCCACAAGGGTGACCTCATGGGACTCTAGGTATTTCGCGTTCATCTTCATCTCTGCAAGACCATGCCTGCTGGGGGAGAGAGGGTCCAAGAAGCCCAGGCATTGAGGTCCACAGGGGGAGCGAGAAGATGAGAGGGGGAGCGTAGGATTTGAGACACTGCTCATCACAAGGATTTAGGAAGGGACACAAAGGAGGTCTAGAAGTTCTGGGAGGAGTTTCAAGCTTGAGGAGGCTGCTTTCTAAGTAGCTACTTCCACTCACCCTGCTCCTGCTCCTTTTCAGTTAACACAACTAGTCCCCAAAATCAAAGGCTGCGAGAAGCCACCCAAATTCTATCAGTGCAACCGCCAGTGTGAAGCTCACCGAAACTGCCAAGCAAATAACCTGCTGTTCAACATTCTGTGGGAACATCTGCATGAGCCTCCTGTGAGTGGGAGGGTGGGTCATGCTTCCTGCTCCCCACAATCCCCCACTCACAGACTAAGTACACATCAGAAGCACAAGGATCTCAAATCAAGGATCCTAGGATGTCAGTGAGAGTGCTGCCCTCCCCGTTGTTTGTACCCCACAACCCTGTCAAAAAAAAACCAGGACAGATACCCAAAGACTTGTCTCTTTCATTCCCACTGCTATGAACACTGAGAAAGCAGCACAGCCCCCTCATGTGCCTGCCCTTCTCTGCACCAGTCTCCACTCTCTCCCTGGTCTTGTTTCTCTACTTCTTTCCTGCCCCACACACCCCTCCAGCCCTGGGAGGCTCAGCTACAGTGGCTCCGCTCACTAAACCAGTTCTACCAAGGTGAAAACTGCTCATGGGTAGCATCCACCAATTCTGAGTAGAACATTCCTCACCCTGGAGTCAGAAAGATCAGCTAAGCATGAGCTAGGAGGAGGCAGAACTGGAGCAGATGCCGCCCAAGGACTGCTTCTTCTTCTTCAGCCCTGGTCACCCTTGCCCTGTTCTCCCCAGTCTCCTTCTGAGGTTCAGATTAGGGTTTCTTTACAATGGGGATAATAAATCCAGGGAAGTTAAATGACACGCTCTAGTTCAAAGAGAATGAGAGGGTATGATGGGACTAGAGGATATTTCCTCTGAATTCTCTTTTTGCTCACTTCTCTTCATTACCTGAGTCCCGAGACACACTTGTGCTTGCCTACACAAACCACAAACCTCATCCTATCCATCACACACAAATGTGGCCACTCCCGTGTTGGGGCCTGTGTTGGTGATCGGGATCTGAAACTCCAGCGTCTTCCATTAGATGAACGTTCCCTACTTTTCTCAATACTCTTCCCTACGATCTCATTTTCTTCTCTTTTGATTCAGGGGAACACCAAGGAGGGAGAGATAGGTAATTCATGCTGATTACTAAGGATTAATAGGCACATGGTGGCTATGAATCTTGCTCATGTTCTATTTTTAGTCCATAGAAATCAACCGTTGGGGTACAGACTCTCTCCCACTCATGGAATCACAACTTCTATGACATGGTCCTGGGATACATCCAGGGCTGGATCACATGTTAATGCATTTGTGAGCTTCACATTACTACTGCAATGTGCCTGAGTGTAGTGGTCAATTTTCCAATTACTGGGGCAAAACACCCAACACATATAATTTAAAAGAGAGGATTGTTTGGCTCATAGTTTCCAGTGGGTTCATTCCAAAGTTAGCCAGTTCCAAGGCAGAAAGGGCATAATGGAGGGGCATGGAAGAGGACAACTACTCACTCCATGTCATCTAGGAAGCAGAGAGAGGAAGGAGGAGCTGGGGACAAGAATACACCCTTCCAGGTAATGCCCCGTGACCCACCTCCTAACAGCATATTAAGCTATTGAACTCATCAGTTGATGAATCCACTGATGAGTGTAGCACCCCTGTGATCCAATAACTTTCCAAACACATGAGACTTTGGGGGAACATTTCAGGTCTAAACCATAACACTGAGGCAATTAACTTAGTACAACAAATATTAAACTCATAGCTCAGAGCAGTGGCATCGAACCTATGGGTCACGTGCCCACAGTGGGCTTTTTGTATTACTGAAAGCTCTAAAAAGTTCACCATCACTGGCTTAGAGGTTCAAGTCCAAGATAAGTAAGCACATGGGTTTGAAACCTCTGACCCACATGGTATAACATGCATCAGAGCAACTGATTATATCGTGACCCAGAAAGTAGCCAAGAGGACAGGCCATTTCCACAATTCCCTTCAAGGGATTCCCCCTATGACTTAAAGGACTTCTCATTAGGGCTCATCCCCAAAAGTCCACAGAACTTTACAATAGTACGATCTTGGGGACCACACCTTTGACACATGGACATTGGGGGACACGCATCTAAACCAGAAGAGTAGCCAACTGGGACACAGCATCAAATGTAAAGAGAATTCAGGCACTTAAGCCATGCCCATGAGAAAATGTGCCATGCTATGTTCCAGCTCAGTGCTTTTGGCTAGACTATTCAATGAAAGAGACGGCAGAGAGGGAAATCTTCTCCATCAGACCAGAGCCTCTGACCCACCTCACAAGTCTCACAGGACTCTAGGTATTTCAGGTTCATCTTCATCTCTGCCATGCAGCCTTTGCACAAAGGGGTCTTAGGAAAGAGACCATGGTCAATCATCAATAGACATCATTGAAGCTAGGTGGACAATAAAGTATATTCTCTAAGACATCTTATTTGTTCTTTCCCCCAGATAGCCTCATTTACCTAGCATCTTTCCAGACTATGCCCCTAATATTGCTGGTACAGACCACCAAGCAAATTAAAGATACCTGCCAGAGTCCATTTAGAGACTGACTTTCCACATCTAAGTCCAGTGCTCTTTACCATGTAGACACAGCAGGGGAAACAGGTTCACCTAATCTCTTTCACTGGACCAAGTGCCATGGACAATGAATTTTGCTAGATGAGTTGCTATGTACCCTTGTAAGATAACTGGTGCCCAGACCTGTGTGCTAGGAAGCACCCTGGGCATCCCACCATGCCCCAGGGTACTTAGAGGTGGTATTCAGAATGTGGTTGCTGGAAGGAGTTCCCACCTGGTCATGCCTGTGCTATGTCTTCTATGGAGTCATCTGTGTGGCCAATACTGTATTAAGTAGAAAATGGGAGTGAGAACTCCGGGAACACCTTGAATCTCATGGAGTCAGAAGAGGAGGCAAATTCAAATCTGCCAAGGTCTGGGATTTTTAAAATGTTAACTCTTAGCCTGAAGAGGATCACAAATCATGCTGGTTTGTTTGAGACAAAATATAGCCTATGTTTGTCACTATTTTTACATTACTCGTTCTCTTCTTATGCTCCAGAGATGATCTTTCCCTACGTGAATCAGATCCAAGAACTATGGAAGGATCCTCCTCACTCATACACCATGATATTGGTCAAATCCTTCCACATTTTTATACTTTGGCTGTGCTTGATGCTCACAGGTGGCTCCATACTAATGCCAATATAGATATTCCTCATTTAATGACCTACCTGTTTAATGACTGTTTCAACTTACTGTTAAGATGTGCTCTTCACACTTACCACTCACCACATGGACTTATGACCCATCTTTGTTTTGTGTACAATTCTGTGCATTTTGTTTATAGATCCTCAGTGTCTTGTTTGAACAGTTTACCATGTTTATACAGTACTGAACTTTTTGCTGATTGTACTGTATAGTATAGTACTATTGTTCTGTTATATATTACAGTACTGCATGTGTAAGAGTTATGCAAATAAAAGCAAAGTCACCAAGTTGGGGTATACTTTGACCATTTCTTTGTTCTGAATATTGTAATGTACATACTGTATACAATTCCTCTTTTAGCTACCAATTCATCTAATGACCTAGATACAGGAACAGAACTCAGTCCTTAAACGAGGAATGTCTATACTAGCAATGTATTATGCATCTTAACCTCTAGCAATTGTTCCTCACAACAAACCTAGAATACCTAATTCATGAACCATAGGAAGTTATCTGAAATGCAAGGGTTGAGTTTAGATGCTGAGTCCAGTGGCTAATATCAAGAAAAGTCCATTGAACCAATACCATTAGAATGCACGTGACTTGTAATAGTCAAGAATAGTCTTCTATCCCAAAGAAATTGGTCTTAACCCTAAGGCTAAAATTAAATTATTTAGGAGCATATGCATCTGTTAGTGTCCTTGCTGTCTTGGGAAGAGTTCACTTGCTGAAAATCTTCAGTGAGAAATGGTAAAATGTAGAAATAAGAGTCTAAGTGAGGGCAGTAAATTTCTCATTCCTGTGGCTTTTCTTAATAATTGTTTCTGGGTATGTGGTGGCCCTTTATTATGTCAATTTGAGTATTCTTTTATTTACAGAAAGTTTTTTGGAGTGTCATTTTTAATTAATTTATGTATTTTTAGTTGAAAAAATTGTATTTATCATGTATGAGATGTTTTGAAATATGTATCCATTGTGAGACAGTTAAATCTAGCTAGTTATCATCTCTATTGCTTCACTTATTTTGTTATGAAAAGCCTCCAAATCCACTCTTAGTAATCTTCAGATTTATAATGCATGTTACATACTATAGTCACCATGTTGCACAATACATCTCATGAACTTATTGCTCCTGACTAAAATTTTGTATCTGTTGACCAACATCTTCCCAATCCTCATCTTTCACACCCTAATAACCACCATTTTACTCTCTGCTTCTATGAGTTCAATTTATTTAGATTCCATATTGTTGTATTTATTGTATTGTATTCCATATTATTGTATTTATTGTATTGCATTCCATATTGTTGTATTTATTTTTTGTGCCTAGCTTATTTCACTAAACATAATGTCCTCCAAGTTACTTTCATGTTGTGGCAAAGAACATGATTTCCCTTTTGAAAGCTGAAAAATATTTCATGGCGTATGTATACATTATTTTATTTATCCATTCATCCATTGATGGACGCTTAGGCTGATTCCATATCTTGTCTATTGTGAAGAAAGATATAATGAACATGGGGTGCAAATAGCTCTTCAGCATGAGGATTTCACAGAACTGAAAATACGTGTGTGTTGCTAGATCACATTGTGATTCTATTTTTAGATTTTTGAAGAAATTTTACAGTTTTCAATAATAGCTATATATACTAATTACCATTCCCACCACCATTTTGCAAGAGTTCTGTTTTTTCTACATCCATTTTCTCAAAATGTGTTTCATTTCTCAACCTACGTTGTCTTTTGTCTTTTTATTTTATGTCTTTTTGATAGTAGCTATTCTGGTAGATGTGTGGCGATTTCTTATGATAGTGTTAAATTTCATTTCTCTGATGATTGTAATGTTGCTTATTTTCTCATATGTATGTTGGCCATTTGTACGTCTTCTTTTTAGAAATGCATATTCATGTTCTTTGCCCATTTTAAAAATCAGGTTATTTGTTTTCTTGCTGTTAAGTTGTTTATATATTTTGGATATTAACTCTTTATCAGGTTTAAGGTTTGCAAATATTTTCTCCCACTCCATAGGTTGGTTCTTCACTCTCTTGATACTTTTCCTTTGCCATGCAGAAGATTTTGACTTGGTAAATCTCATTTGTCTATTTTTCTCTTTTGTTATCTGGGCTATTGGATCATATCCAAAAATTATGAAAATTTTCTCCTGTTATTTTACAAAACTTTCACAGTGTCAGGTCCTATCTTTAAGTCTATAATCAATACAGTATTGACTTTTGTACAGTGTAAGAAGGAAGGGTTCAATTGCATTCTTCTGCAGGTGTATAACCAGTATTGCCAGCACTATTTATTGAAAAGGCTGCATTTCTCTGTTAAGTGTTCTTTGCACCTTTGTCGAAAGCCAATTTTAGGGATGGGGATTTAGCTTGGTGGTTCCACCACCTGTCTGGCATGTGCAAGGACCCAAATTCTACCCTGGTACCAAAAAAAAACTCCAATTCTGTATGACTATATGAATTTATTTCTAGGCTCTCTATTCTGTTCCACTGATCTGTGCATGTTTTTATGCCAGTAGCATCATACTGCTTTGGTTATATAGCTTTGCAGTACATTTGGAAGTCAGATAACATGATGCCTTCAGCTTTCTGCCTTTTGTTCAAGATTGCTTTGGGTTTTTTAGGGTCTTTTGTGTTTCTAAATGAATTTAAGAGTATTTTTTTTCTTTCTATAAAATATTTTATTGACATATTATTGGACATTGCATTAAATCTGTAGTTTACTTTGGGTTCTATGGACATTTTAGCAATATTAATTCTTTCAATCCATAAATATGAGCTGTCATTATATATGTGTCTTCTTCAATTTCTTTCATCACTGTTTTATAGTTTCCAGTGCTCAGGTCTTTTTT